GTATAAATTGAAGATTGAAACTAACTTAAAATAAATTTATTTAATCATTTTCAATATAACTAGTTGAGAGGTCGTTGTTTAGATTAACTATTATTTGATTTTCAATAATGCTGTCAAAATTAATGGCTCTTTCAAAGTCGTCCTTAATAATTTTCTTTATTTTCGCCACCACTTTATCATTATCCTTTGTGACATGGGCACATGCTTCCTTCAGCAAACCTTCCATCTTCTTCACTGTGAAAGGTGGCTTGATGTTCTGTAGTGCTGCATAGCCTGTAAAAGCATAAGATATTTTCATCTCGTGTGTATCTAAGTAGAGTTGATATGATTGCATTTAGAACATTTCATATAAGAACTAGCCTTTGATTTGGGCCCAAATCAATTCAATAGCATTATATTGCTAGTAGTATGGTGTTAGTCTTATAACTTTATGCGCGTGCTCTTCTGCTTAACGTACAAAGGTTTACGTGATTTATTTCACTTTACTAGTTGTGTTAGCTCTGCTTTCAATACTTTTATATCAGCTTCCACTCCTTTGTGTTGCAGCCATGCTTCTAAATCTGCTTTCTTATTCGTTGGGATTGGCGCTTTGTCAATTTGCACAGAATGGTACGGGGCGTTGTCCATTATTATTGTGCCACTCGCAAAAACATTTTTTTAAAGTGTTATAAACCACTTTTAATTTTTCTGCATTCATTTCCTCGTGGTATTCACTAGTACTCTTTGATTGGAAGGCCAATAAACAATTTTCTACATATCCTCTTCCAGCGGATCCCGCATGGCAAATTATGAGGTACCCACCTTTTCCTACGGGCATCTTTGAGCAAGATGCTGCTGTGTAATCTGTACAAATTTTGGAACAAAATCAGTTTCACCAGCAGCGTGCACTATAACCAAACGGCTGCCTTTTTTGATATAGGTTTTTTAGGCCTTTAGTAGAACGGTTAGACCAAGAGTGGTGTGACGCACGAGAGCTGTCAACATATGATTCGTCAGTGTAGATTATTGGTCTTCCTTCTTCTCTGTATTTTATAATTTTTTTAAGATATTTAATTCTCTGTAATCTGATTAGTGATTGTACAATTAAGTTTTCTATTATTTTCCGTTCTGTTCCATGTAAAACCCAACTCTTTTATAATTCGCCTTAAACTTGCTTCGGATCCTTGGCAATTGATGTCGTTCTGTAATTTTCTTCGTAATTTCCCTAAGGTCAGCAATTCTTTCTCGGTGACATGAAAATTGTGAATACTCCTATTTATAACACCCTTGTCGAAGTTGTCAATGCCCGTTATAGGTTTATTTTTTATCCTTTTGTTATTGTTGGGAGTTCGAAAAACAGCGAGTAATTCTGAACTTTTCGCATCTTTTTCGATACGTCTCACTGTAGTCTTAGAAGTTTTCGTCGCTTCTGCAGTCCGTTAGATACACAGTTTTAAATTATCAACTGTTCCTTTTTCAGCTTTTTCTTCATAAAACAATAAATATTATAAATTATTTTCTTTCCTTCCGTATTAAAACCATCGTCGCGTCGCGCGTCGCTCAAAGATTTCATTAATATTTACAAATGTTAAATATTATTTAATGATATACAAATGTAAAAGTAAAGTCGATCTGAAAACGTCTAATTAGTAAGAATAGCAAAACAAGTGTTTTCAAAAGGAAAAAAACGCCGGCGCTATACGGCGGCGGATTGACAAAAGACTATTTATTAGCGAACTTTTTTATGCATGAACGGTTTCGAACTCTTTCAAGCAAAAATAAACCTTATACCATATCACAAGAGCACATGGTACTTCGTAGGTCTATTCGGCCATATGATAGTAAAAAGACGGCAGTTCAACCATTTTAAGCAAAATTAAATAATAAGACAAATGCATTGTTTTTTTAACATGAGACTTGTTTTCCAGAAATTTATTTCCAGAAACTTGAGTTTGTGAGCGATCGCAATGAGTGCTATTATTTGTTACTTATTAGACAATTTTTCCATAACATGATTTAAAACCCACAAAGTAAAAATAGTACCATGTACACGTCAAAAAAGGTTGACAACCCCTAAAAATTTCAAATTTTCAAAATATTCAGAAACGAAGCTGCATGCATGAACTACTCGCAAAATAATGAATATTTTGTTCTGGATAAATTATCCAAAAAAGCAATTTGAGCAAGTTATAAAGATTTTTAAAAAGACACGACTCGCGTGTCATACGCCACACACAAAAGTAATCGATGGCACGCCTGTCGTGTCCGTGAACCGGTTAATATATAAATGAAAATGATAAATATGCATAAATATCAATAAAATAAATAAAAACCCAAGCAGATGGAAGCCTACGGCAGGGGAGACCAAACGGCCGAGCGTTGGGAGTAAAAGGAAAGAAACCGATGAACGGAAAAGTGATGGTCACTGTTGGAGGTCTAGCGCCTAGTGTAGAAAGAATTCTGGCTACCATGTTATGCCTGTGCAAGTACCGGAGAAGACGTGCCTAAGTGATCTCTGATAGTTGTTGGTCTTAATAACCCGATACTGTATCGCATAAAAAAAGCCCACGGTTTCCCGAGAGGTGACCGAAACGTAGCCAGTGAAGGGGCGACATGACACACATCGCAAACTGTTTCATATCCACCTCATCGATACCCATGTCCTGTGACCTACCCACGTATCAGTATGTTTCAGTCTCGTATAGGGTCCTTATGTAGATGGGCATAGATAGGTCTATGCTCTCAGAGTTAGCAACCCTACCTCTTCCAACATAGAGGACCGAACACTTTATCTGTCCCCAGCTCAATTCTAATATAATTGCTTAAATCACAAGTGATGTTTAGCAATTCCTTAAGATTGGAGCGACTGGAGGCGAGACTAAAGCCATGCTGCAGCTATATTATGGTTGTAACACGAATGGGTCGGCTCGACCGGGGAAGGACCACGCTCTCACAGAAAACCAGCGTAAAATAGCAGCTTGACGCTGCTGTGTTTCGTATGGTGAGTGTAGAGAACCGGAGACCCTTTTTACTGGCAAAGAGGCATTCCATCTTAGTCCTCACGGGTGACAACGCATCTGCATCTTGAGTCTTTATTGAGGATAGATGTAGATGTCTATGGGTCACAGTAACCACTTACCATCAGGTGGACTGTGTACTCGTTTGTCAACCGAACCTATAAAAAAAAAGAATAACTTGACATTATCCATATAGAAAAGATGGGTAACTTTTGTACCTCCTTTCCGAAGCTGAAACCCCCTCCCGGAACCCTCCAGTAAGGTACTGAGAGGGTTTAGAGAGCCAGATTTTACTTACATTCATCCTGGAATATACCCCTTCTTATCCTTATGTGCTTCTCCGCAGCCATCATCCGCTCGGCTAGATGACAAAGGATCGTACTCCACTGCCCGAGGAAGTATCTAACTATACAGTCAACCTTGTACAGCTCGAGGACCTTCTTCAGCTAAGTATGAGGCATAGAGTCGAATGCCTTTTTGTAGTCTATCCAGGCATCGGAGAGGTTCCGACGGTTGCGTTTAACCACCTTGAGAAGACTGCGTCAATGAGGAGTGGTTCCTTGGTTCCACGACCACCGCTCCTACATCCATTTTTAGCGCGCGACATCACCTGATTTGAGTTCAGGTGACGAGTGATTCTCGCGCAAGTGTCTTGTGCATCGTGGGTAGACACCTGATGGGGCGATATTTACTCGGGTCTGTGGTATCCTAGTCTTTAGGAACGAAATGAGTAATCCCAGTAGTAAAGAGGCTCGGGAGCGACTTCTAGTCGAGAGCCTCTTGAAACTGTCTGTCGAGCACAGCGTAACACACCACGAACCCCTTCAGCCAGTCTAGCCCCGGACTTTTCCAATCGTCCGGCGTTATGATGACAGGGTCCATGGGCGTAACATTTGCAAACTGACTCGCCACAACTTCCGTCCAAGGGCCCTTGCTGTGGTTTATGGGCTCTGACCACAGTCCACCTCCAGAATGTGACAGTGTCGGCTCGATTCGGTGAGGAGCCAGTTTCACGTACCATTGGTCGCTACAATGATTTATAGAACCTCTTCTGATCGCTCTGGAAGAGACGATTCTGGTCGAACCGCTTCGACCTCTTTTCGATTCTTTGCTTCAGGTCGCCTATGCGCTCCGTTAGTTTCTGCGTGATATCCGGCCGAGACAACGTGATATTTGTCCCAGCAAACGCCTTTCTAACGGTGCGCATAAATCTTGGCCTATTATTAACCGACCTGAAGCTTGTCAATCTGCCGATGAGGACCCTTGCCATTGCGATACGGTCCTCAATTCTTTTTCTCAAGGCTGGGATAGCACTACTTTGTGCAGTAGCGTGTCCACCAGCCGGTGAAAGCATTGCGCCAATGATACGGTAAACTGCCAGTGCAGCGCCAAAAAGAATTGAGTCTGTCTCGTAAAGCATTGGATTTAGAGTCCTCACGACAGCTCGATTCCGCTTGTTTAGGGGTATGCGGGGAAGTCCTTGTCGATTTTTGAGAGGCGTACTGATCGTTTAGGTTATCGCCTCTTCCAATGTGCTCGTCATTAGCTCTCATTAGCATGGGCAACTATTCATTCCATCATCGTCTGAGTCAACACTACTGGAAAATTCACGGTGGCATTCACGTGTGCGGATTGTTCTGTAACTTGTGGCGCCGCATCTAGCCGTAGCTCTGCCATCGTATTTTTCACGACAGGCAAACAGACAAATTTTGTAAGGCAAAGAATACACGATTTCCTCTGAAATGATCCAAGACTTATGATCCTCTAACAATTTTCATAAAAAGGAGTTCATAAAAAGGAGGCAGTAATCGACATCGTCGAAATTCAAGAATGCGAAGAGTTCACTTCTAATGAACAATCAAGCTTCATTTCAAATTATTTCATATATTTTTCTATGATAAAGTTAACAGACCTACATTCATGGGATGATAATATGTTTAAAATGTTGAACACGTAATAATAAATAAATAGGATTGCAGGAACCAAAATATTACACCGAAAATTATAACATACCTTTATTTAAAATGCTTAGAATTTATAATTAAAAATGACCTTATGCATATACATATTCATATTTGAAGTCAAAATAAAAGACAAAGCAAGTTAAATTCGGTACTCTTACGAGAAATGATCTCACAGTATTGGAAAAATCGTTGAAGTATCGCGTTAAGTCAAACTATTAATTCGTCGTTAGTAGTAGTTGGGATACTGTGGCCAAGGATGTGGATGGTGTTGGTAGGGACCCGGCGGCTGCTGGTATCCCCAAGGCGGCTGGTACGTCTGTGCGTAGGATTGGTCATACGACTGTGCAGTGGCAGCTGGCGTCTGGTAATATGTGCTGCTGCCACTTGTGGTAGTGGCGGTCATCGTTGTTGTACCACTACTCTCTTTCTTCTTTGTTGCGTCAGTCGAAGGGCTAAAAAAATAAAAATACATTTTATTTGACTGTTCTTAATTCTGATTCACATTGTCATATGAGATAATGTTCTACTAGCTAATATCAATCAATTATAACAGCAACTTTCGCGTACCAACCTAATTTATCAATCAACAGATATGGTACAAACATAGAAACACTTTACTTGTTCGAACCTTTTCTTATCCGCGGACGCGGACACCGTGGCCGCGTGGTGCTTGTCCTTGCTTGTGCAGGGCTAACCCCGTGTGAAGTTTTCAGTCCCCAGGTGCAGGTGCAGGTGTACTCACGCGGGCGGCGGCGGCGGCTCGTGCTTGTCCTTGCGCGCGCGCTTGCGCAGGTGCAGGTGCAGGTGTACTCACGCGGGCGGCGGCGGCGGCTCGTGCTTGTCCTTGCGCGCGCTCACGCAGGTGCAGGTGCAGGTGCAGGTGTACTCACGCGGGCGGCGGCGGCGGCTCGTGCTTGTCCTTGCGCGCGCGCTTGCGCAGGTGCAGGTGCAGGTGCAGGTGTACTCACGCGGGCGGCGGCGGCGGCTCGTGCTTGTCCTTGCGCGCGCGCTTGCGCAGGTGCAGGTGCAGGTGCAGGTGTACTCACGCGGGCGGCGGCGGCGGCTCGTGCTTGTCCTTGCGCGCGCGCTTGCGCAGGTGCAGGTGCAGGTGTACTCACGCGGGCGGCGGCGGCGGCTCGTGCTTGTCCTTGCGCGCGCGCTTGCGCAGGTGCAGGTGCAGGTGCAGGTGTACTCACGCGGGCGGCGGCGGCGGCTCGTGCTTGTCCTTGCGCGCGCGCTTGCGCAGGTGCAGGTGCAGGTGCAGGTGTACTCACGCGGGCGGCGGCGGCGGCTCGTGCTTGTCCTTGCGCGCGCGCTTGCGCAGGTGCAGGTGCAGGTGCAGGTGTACTCACGCGGGCGGCGGCGGCGGCTCGTGCTTGTCCTTGCGCGCGCGCTTGCGCAGGTGCAGGTGCAGGTGTACTCACGCGGGCGGCGGCGGCGGCTCGTGCTTGTCCTTGCGCGCGCGCTTGCGCAGGTGCAGGTGCAGGTGCAGGTGTACTCACGCGGGCGGCGGCGGCGGCTCGTGCTTGTCCTTGCGCGCGCGCTTGCGCAGGTGCAGGTGCAGGTGCAGGTGCAGGTGTACTCACGCGGGCGGCGGCGGCGGCTCGTGCTTGTCCTTGCGCGCGCGCTTGCGCAGGTGCAGGTGCAGGTGTACTCACGCGGGCGGCGGCGGCGGCTCGTGCTTGTCCTTGCGCGCGCGCTTGCGCAGGTGCAGGTGCAGGTGCAGGTGTACTCACGCGGGCGGCGGCGGCGGCTCGTGCTTGTCCTTGCGCGCGCGCTTGCGCAGGTGCAGGTGCAGGTGCAGGTGTACTCACGCGGGCGGCGGCGGCGGCTCGTGCTTGTCCTTGCGCGCGCGCTTGCGCAGGTGCAGGTGCAGGTGCAGGTGCAGGTGTACTCACGCGGGCGGCGGCGGCGGCTCGTGCTTGTCCTTGCGCGCGCGCTTGCGCAGGTGCAGGTGCAGGTGCAGGTGCAGGTGTACTCACGCGGGCGGCGGCGGCGGCTCGTGCTTGTCCTTGCGCGCGCGCTTGCGCAGGTGCAGGTGCAGGTGCAGGTGTACTCACGCGGGCGGCGGCGGCGGCTCGTGCTTGTCCTTGCGCGCGCGCTTGCGCAGGTGCAGGTGCAGGTGCAGGTGCAGGTGTACTCACGCGGGCGGCGGCGGCGGCTCGTGCTTGTCCTTGCGCGCGCGCTTGCGCAGGTGCAGGTGCAGGTGTACTCACGCGGGCGGCGGCGGCGGCTCGTGCTTGTCCTTGCGCGCGCGCTTGCGCAGGTGCAGGTGCAGGTGCAGGTGCAGGTGTACTCACGCGGGCGGCGGCGGCGGCTCGTGCTTGTCCTTGCGCGCGCGCTTGCGCAGGTGCAGGTGCAGGTGCAGGTGCAGGTGTACTCACGCGGGCGGCGGCGGCGGCTCGTGCTTGTCCTTGCGCGCGCGCTTGCGCAGGTGCAGGTGCAGGTGCAGGTGTACTCACGCGGGCGGCGGCGGCGGCTCGTGCTTGTCCTTGCGCGCGCGCTTGCGCAGGTGCAGGTGCAGGTGCAGGTGTACTCACGCGGGCGGCGGCGGCGGCTCGTGCTTGTCCTTGCGCGCGCGCTTGCGCAGGTGCAGGTGCAGGTGCAGGTGTACTCACGCGGGCGGCGGCGGCGGCTCGTGCTTGTCCTTGCGCGCGCGCTTGCGCAGGTGCAGGTGCAGGTGCAGGTGTACTCACGCGGGCGGCGGCGGCGGCTCGTGCTTGTCCTTGCGCGCGCGCTTGCGCAGGTGCAGGTGCAGGTGTACTCACGCGGGCGGCGGCGGCGGCTCGTGCTTGTCCTTGCGCGCGCGCTTGCGCAGGTGCAGGTGCAGGTGCAGGTGTACTCACGCGGGCGGCGGCGGCGGCTCGTGCTTGTCCTTGCGCGCGCGCTTGCGCAGGTGCAGGTGCAGGTGCAGGTGTACTCACGCGGGCGGCGGCGGCGGCTCGTGCTTGTCCTTGCGCGCGCGCTTGCGCAGGTGCAGGTGCAGGTGCAGGTGCAGGTGTACTCACGCGGGCGGCGGCGGCGGCTCGTGCTTGTCCTTGCGCGCGCGCTTGCGCAGGTGCAGGTGCAGGTGTACTCACGCGGGCGGCGGCGGCGGCTCGTGCTTGTCCTTGCGCGCGCGCTTGCGCAGGTGCAGGTGCAGGTGCAGGTGCAGGTGTACTCACGCGGGCGGCGGCGGCGGCTCGTGCTTGTCCTTGCGCGCGCGCTTGCGCAGGTGCAGGTGCAGGTGCAGGTGCAGGTGTACTCACGCGGGCGGCGGCGGCGGCTCGTGCTTGTCCTTGCGCGCGCGCTTGCGCAGGTGCAGGTGCAGGTGCAGGTGTACTCACGCGGGCGGCGGCGGCGGCTCGTGCTTGTCCTTGCGCGCGCGCTTGCGCAGGTGCAGGTGCAGGTGCAGGTGTACTCACGCGGGCGGCGGCGGCGGCTCGTGCTTGTCCTTGCGCGCGCGCTTGCGCAGGTGCAGGTGCAGGTGCAGGTGTACTCACGCGGGCGGCGGCGGCGGCTCGTGCTTGTCCTTGCGCGCGCGCTTGCGCAGGTGCAGGTGCAGGTGCAGGTGTACTCACGCGGGCGGCGGCGGCGGCTCGTGCTTGTCCTTGCGCGCGCGCTTGCGCAGGTGCAGGTGCAGGTGTACTCACGCGGGCGGCGGCGGCGGCTCGTGCTTGTCCTTGCGCGCGCGCTTGCGCAGGTGCAGGTGCAGGTGCAGGTGTACTCACGCGGGCGGCGGCGGCGGCTCGTGCTTGTCCTTGCGCGCGCGCTTGCGCAGGTGCAGGTGCAGGTGCAGGTGTACTCACGCGGGCGGCGGCGGCGGCTCGTGCTTGTCCTTGCGCGCGCGCTTGCGCAGGTGCAGGTGCAGGTGCAGGTGTACTCACGCGGGCGGCGGCGGCGGCTCGTGCTTGTCCTTGCGCGCGCGCTTGCGCAGGTGCAGGTGCAGGTGCAGGTGTACTCACGCGGGCGGCGGCGGCGGCTCGTGCTTGTCCTTGCGCGCGCGCTTGCGCAGGTGCAGGTGCAGGTGCAGGTGTACTCACGCGGGCGGCGGCGGCGGCTCGTGCTTGTCCTTGCGCGCGCGCTTGCGCAGGTGCAGGTGCAGGTGCAGGTGTACTCACGCGGGCGGCGGCGGCGGCTCGTGCTTGTCCTTGCGCGCGCGCTTGCGCAGGTGCAGGTGCAGGTGCAGGTGTACTCACGCGGGCGGCGGCGGCGGCTCGTGCTTGTCCTTGCGCGCGCGCTTGCGCAGGTGCAGGTGCAGGTGCAGGTGTACTCACGCGGGCGGCGGCGGCGGCTCGTGCTTGTCCTTGCGCGCGCGCTTGCGCAGGTGCAGGTGCAGGTGCAGGTGCAGGTGTTCTCACGCGGGCGGCGGCGGCGGCTCGTGCTTGTCCTTGCGCGCGCGCTTGCGCAGGTGCAGGTGCAGGTGCAGGTGTACTCACGCGGGCGGCGGCGGCGGCTCGTGCTTGTCCTTGCGCGCGCGCTTGCGCAGGTGCAGGTGCAGGTGCAGGTGTACTCACGCGGGCGGCGGCGGCGGCTCGTGCTTGTCCTTGCGCGCGCGCTTGCGCAGGTGCAGGTGCAGGTGCAGGTGTACTCACGCGGGCGGCAGCGGCGGCTCGTGCTTGTCCTTGCGCGCGCGCTTGCGCAGGTGCAGGTGCAGGTGCAGGTGCAGGTGTACTCACGCGGGCGGCGGCGGCGGCTCGTGCTTGTCCTTGCGCGCGCGCTTGCGCAGGTGCAGGTGCAGGTGCAGGTGTACTCACGCGGGCGGCGGCGGCGGCTCGTGCTTGTCCTTGCGCGCGCGCTTGCGCAGGTGCAGGTGCAGGTGTACTCACGCGGGCGGCGGCGGCGGCTCGTGCTTGTCCTTGCGCGCGCGCTTGCGCAGGTGCAGGTGCAGGTGCAGGTGTACTCACGCGGGCGGCGGCGGCGGCTCGTGCTTGTCCTTGCGCGCGCGCTTGCGCAGGTGCAGGTGCAGGTGCAGGTGTACTCACGCGGGCGGCGGCGGCGGCTCGTGCTTGTCCTTGCGCGCGCGCTTGCGCAGGTGCAGGTGCAGGTGCAGGTGTACTCACGCGGGCGGCGGCGGCGGCTCGTGCTTGTCCTTGCGCGCGCGCTTGCGCAGGTGCAGGTGCAGGTGTACTCACGCGGGCGGCGGCGGCGGCTCGTGCTTGTCCTTGCGCGCGCGCTTGCGCAGGTGCAGGTGCAGGTGCAGGTGTACTCACGCGGGCGGCGGCGGCGGCTCGTGCTTGTCCTTGCGCGCGCGCTTGCGCAGGTGCAGGTGCAGGTGTACTCACGCGGGCGGCGGCGGCGGCTCGTGCTTGTCCTTGCGCGCGCGCTTGCGCAGGTGCAGGTGCAGGTGCAGGTGTACTCACGCGGGCGGCGGCGGCGGCTCGTGCTTGTCCTTGCGCGCGCGCTTGCGCAGGTGCAGGTGCAGGTGCAGGTGTACTCACGCGGGCGGCGGCGGCGGCTCGTGCTTGTCCTT